AACACCGTTAGATACAGTGCTGGAAAACGAGCTCCTCAGGTTGGAAGGTACTCAAAATACAACTGCAGAAGAGCTGCCTCCTCAAAGTAGTATTGATCATAATGCAAATGGAGCCCTCAGTACCTTCATTTGCTGATGGGGCACAATTCAAAAGGATGAGAAACAGCTGTAAACACCCATTAATAAGTGGAACATGAAATGTATAAAGTATGAATCTAGGAAAATTGGAAGTTGTCAAAAATGAAATGGAACACATAAACATTGAACATTGATATCCTAGACATTAGTAAGCTGAAATAGACTGGAAATTTTGAATAATAGAATCAGAAATTTTGAATCTGACAATTACATGGGTTACTATGCCAGGAATGACACATTAAAGAGGAATGGCATTGTATTCACCATCAAAAAGAACATATCAAGATCAATTATGAAGTAAAATGCTATCTGATAGGATAATATCCATTCGCCTACAAGAAAGACCAGCTAATAGCACTATTATCCAAATTTACACACCAATCACTAAAGCCAGTGTTGATAAAATTGAAAAAAATCTACTAACTTCTTCAGTCTGAAATTGATCCAACGTGCAGTCAAGATGTATTGATAATTACTGGTGATTGTAATGCAAAGGTTGGAAATAAAGAAAAAGGATTGGTGGTTAGAAAATATAGCCTTGGTGACAGAAAGGATGCTGGAGATCACATGATAGAATTTTGCAAGACCAATGACTTCATTGCAAATACATTTTTAAAACAACATAGAAAATGAATATAAACCTGGACCTCACCAGATGGAATACACAGAAATCAAATTGGCTACTTCTGTGAAAAAAGACAGTGGAAAAGTTCCATATGATCAGCCAAAACAATGCCAGGGGCAGACTGTGGAACAGACCATCAATTATTCATATGCAAATTCAGGCTGAAGTTGAAGAAAATGAAAACAAGTCCACAAGAGCCAAAATATGACTTTGTATATATCCCACCTGAATTTAGAAATCATCTGAAGAACAAGTTTTGATGCATTAGACACAAAAGACCGAAGACCAGAAGAGTTGTGGATGACATCAAGAACATAATACAGGAAGAAAGCAAAAGGTCATTAAGAAGACAAGAAAGAAGGAAGAGATCAAAATGGGTATCAGAAGAGACTCTGAAACTTGCTCTCCAATGTAGAGATGTTAAAGCAAATGAAAGAAATGAGGAGGTACAAGAGTTGAACAGAAAATTTCAAAGGTCAGCTTGAGAAGACAAAGTCAAATATTACAACTAAATGTGCAAACATTTGGAATTAGAAAACCAAAAGGGAATAACACACTCAGTATTTCTCAAGCTGGGGGAACTGAAGACAAAATTCAAGCCCCGACTTTCGTTATTGAAGGACTCTCTGGGAAAATTATTGAATGAGGCAGAAAGCATCAAAAGAAGATGGAAGGAATCCACAGAGTCACTGTACCAAAAGGAAATGGTTGATGTTCAACCATTTCAAGAGGTAGCATATGATCAACAGCCAATGATACTGAAGGAAGAAGTCCAAGGTACATTGACAGGATTGGCAAAGAACAAGGCACAAGGAAATGACAGAATACAAATTGAAATATTTCAACACAGTGAGGCAACAGTGGAGGCACTCACTCATCTATGCCAAAAAATTTCTAAGACAACTATCTGGCCATCTGAGTGGAAGAGATCCATATTTGTACCCATTCCAAAGAAAAGTGACCCAGCAGAATGCAGAAATCTTCAGATAATATCATTGATATCCCACGCAAGTAAAGTTTTACTAAAGGTAATACAGAAACAGCTGCAAACATACATTGACAGAGAACTTCCAGAGGTTCAAGTTGGTTTCAGAAGTGGACGTGGAATGAGGGATCTCATTGCTGACTTCAGATCTTGACTGAAAGCAGAGAATACCAGAAAGATGTTTACGTGTGCTTTATTGACTATGCAAAGGCTTTCAATTATGTGGATCATGAAAAGCTATGGACAACATTGCAAAGTGTGAATATTCTGAAACACTTCATTGTGTTCATGAGGAACCTGTACATAGACCAAGAGGCAGTTGTTCGTACAGAATAAGGGAACGCTGACTGGTTTAAAATTAAGAAAGGTGTGTGCCAGTGTTGTATTCTTTCACCATACTTATTCAATCTGCATGCTGAGCAAATAATCAAAGAATCTGTATTATATGAAGAAAAACATGTCATTGGGATTGAAGGAAGACTCATTAACTATCTATGATATTCAAATTATACAACCTTTCTTGCTGAAAACAAAGAGGACTTAAAATAATTTATTGATGATCAAAGCCTTCAGTACGGGTTGTATCTCAATGTAAAGAAAATGAAAATCCTCACCACTGACTTAATAAACAACATCCACATAAATGGAGAAAAAATAGAAGTAGTAAAAAGATTTCTTTTTTTTTTTTTTTGGATCAACCAGCAACACTCATGGAAGCAACAGTCAAGAAATCAAACGATGTTTGCATTAGGCAAATCTGCTACACAAGACCTTTCATTTAGAAAGTATAAAGAACTTAGGTGAACAAATAGTTCTTTAAAATATCCAGATTTCTTTGGAGTCAAGCACCAATTGTATCAGGTAAATATGAGTCCATTTCACCAGTACTGTCAAGAATCTTAGGTTCTGAAATCCTTTTATGCTGCCAAATGTCCTACTCTGGGCCCAGGTGGAGTTCAGTTCAGAACACTAGAACCCCACATTAGAGCACTTGGGCTGAGGGCTGCTGGACAAAAGTAAACAAGCATCCAGTAGAGTAAGAGAGAGCCTGTGACATCTCTCTCCTGAGAGTGACCCTGGTTTCCCCCACATGCAAGTAAATCGGGGTCGGAGTGTCTTACTCATCTCTGAATCGTTTCCATCAAAGTCTGACGATTAGAAGCCTCGGGATTCTGGTTTCTATGTTGCCAACTGTATTGAGACATGACTTCTGTTCTTCCCTAAATTCTCATGCACTTGAGTTGAAGGTAGACTGTGAGAGGTACATTCTTTCCACACTACATTTTCCCTCCTCATGGGAAATTTTTAATAGTGCACAGTGTGGCTACACTAGACTTTGTTTTGGGTTCATTTGTCCCATTAAATTACTGCCTTTTCCCATTGTCATGGAGTCTGGTCTGGCTCAGCAACCCTACAGGACAGAGTAGAGTTACTTCATACGCTTTCCTAGATTATAATCTTGGAGAACTCCTGGTGTGGTGCCGTAGGATCAGCACTGGACTGCCAACCACAAGGTGAGTGGTTCCAGCTCAACAACTTCTCCTTGGAAACCCTATACGGGGTTGCTATGAGCCAGAATTGACTCAACAGCACTTAACAATAACAATCTTTGAGGAAGCAGATCACCAGGTCTTGTCCCACAGCTAGTAGGTTTGAACCACCAGTCTTCCAGTTAACATCTGAGTTCTTAACCACTGTCAGATGAGAGCTCCTAAATCATTGGAAAAGGGGCCGTGTAAAGAAGAAAGATGAAAAAAGAGTAATCAATGACAGTTTGATGAACTTGACCTATACTTATGGATGTAGTAGCTCAAAAAAGGGAACAAATCTTTACAGTGAGGCTCATTCCCACCCCCTTGGTACACAGCGTTGACAGAGATGGGCAACTTAAACATTGGATCCCCAAAATGGGGGGCAGGGGCTACAAAGGCAAGAAGTGACTGGTTTACAAGCTTTCAAGGGGGAGCCTAGTTCCAGAGGGCATGGGGAAAGGTAGAATCTCCTTGGAGTGGTTTTCAATCTGTCTGGATGGGGCTGATGAAAGGAGATGGGGATGAGCCTCTTGTGGTTCAATAGTGAATAATTGCTATTAGGACTGACTGTGAGTGTTGCAAATGTAAAGGTAGATATTTTGTAACAAAAGGAGGGGAGTGGCTGACCTTGCAGTCCAGGAGTGGAGGTCCCTGGAGCTATCAAGGGAAAAACAAAGTGCAGGACCCTACCCAGAGAAGTAGTGACACCAGAGATGGAGGCAGAGATGATGACATGGAGAGATGGAGCTGCTGGGAGCTCTGGATTCAGGGAGAGAGAGGGGCTGTGTGCTGATAGCAAGGGGGCAGACTTGCAGGATGTATCCTTTGGTTGTTTGATGATATATGGAGGGGATTGTAATTAATGCAATGAAATGAAATATGATAGGATGAATGTAAAGCTAATGTTCTCCAATGTAAACTATCACATAATTCACAATAAAAACTTTAAAAAGGGTGGGGGGCATGTACACTTACCTCTCCATGTTTCTCAGTCAATTATTTTAGACTTGTTTTCAATAGGATCATTTATGACTTTTTCTCAATAGGTGATTAAAGAAGATAGTCTACAGGAAAACAGTCAAGAAGTCGGCACCTACATGTTACTGAAGTTTGCTAACCTGCGGGATGAATTTGAAATTGTTGGAGATGTCCGAGGCAAAGGCCTCATGATAGGAATAGAAATGGTGAAGGACAAGGTAGGTTCTGACACACTACTGTCTCTATGGGTGCTCTCGGAAAACAAAACCTGAATTCTCATTTCTTCTTAAAAGCAAGCAGATTAGGACAGTAAGATCCAGCCAAAGCCCATTAGAAATTACAGAAGAATTTAGAGGACAAACAAAATGCTAGCAGAAGGTGGAGAATTCTTGAGGGGAACCGATAGGCAAAGAGCATTGGCTACAGCTGAGTATTTGAAATTGGACCCACAAGAGAGGGAGGAAATGATTTGGAAAAGGGCAAGTGCTCAGAAGTAAGAGAGAAGAGCCAGGGGGAGATTGGTGCTGGATTGGGGTAGGGATATTAATGATAAACTGGCATTTGTGTGTGTGTGTATACGTGTTTGTGATTGGGTTTCAGTCTCCCAAGTAACCAATGAGGAATGTGTCTTTGTCATATTCCCTATTGTCACCTCAAACTCAACATGACAGCAATGGAATTTAGCATTTTTCCCAAGATTAGTGTTTCTTAAACTACTCTCCCAACTACTCAGCCTCAAAGCCACAAAGAAACCTGTGACTTCTTCCTCTCCCCTTATTTATAAGGGCAAGTTCTGTGTCTTCAGTGCCATGTCTCTCAAATCCCTTTGTTTCCACTGTTGCCCCTTACTCCATGGTGGTAGGAGATTGTTGCTTTCCCCGATAAAAACAAAATGTAGTTTCTCTAATGAATAAGATAGCGTAAGAATCTTGGCATGGGAAAAGTAACCAGGCTAACTTCATAATCCCAACTCCTGTCTACAGACATCCACTTCGCCTTGAGTGATTTCTTGCTATTTGCTCTTTCCATGCCATACTTGTGGGTAGGATTGGTATTCAAACCTTTTAATATTCAGATAAGACCAAGGGCAAAAGAGTCTCCCAACAATACCACATGGAAGATCCAGTTCAAAGCTGAAATCGCTAAATAAGATTCTAAGCCAGAGCAAAAAGAAAATAAATAGAATATTATTATGAGACTAGGTCCTCTGTCTCACAAGCTATAAAATATTCATCTTCATCTGTGGCCCAGTACAAGGGTTGCTTTAAGACTTGACAAATTCATCTTCATACTCACTACTGATGCTCCCTCAAAGGTATTTGTTGTTGTTGTTAAGTGTCGTCAAGTCAGTTCCAACCCATAGGAACTCTGTATAAGGTTTCCGAGGAGCCTCCTCAAACTCTAGACTCAAGAAAAGAATGTTCAATGAAAGAGGAGGGATTCCTCTCTTTCCCATCATTGCAATTTCTACATCCTCAAAGACCTCTGAGCAAGAATGTCCATCAGAATTTTACTTATAATAATAAAACATTGGAATCTCTCAGTGACCTTCAATAAAGAATAAATTAAACTATGGTACCCTGGTAGCATTCTTGGTTACAAGTTGGGTTGCTAATTTCAAGGTCAGCAATTTGAATCTACCAGCTTCTCCACAAGAGAAAGAGGAAGCTTTCTGCTTCTATAAAGATTTACAGTCTCAGAAACCCTATGCAGGGCAGCCATGCATTGGAATCAACTGGGCAGCAGTCCACCACCACCACCACATCCATACTACAATGACCTAATAGGTATCTCACAATGTTCTTCTGGAAAACTGAATACTTATATTTAATAGTTTAATATTTTTCTTGCAAAATAATAAAATATAGGAATGGGTTTCATATTACACTTGAAGATTTGACTCAGCAGTATCATTCCTAATATTAAAAAGAGAGAAATGCACTTTCTCATCTTAAAATGTTGGTTGCCTTTGTATGTCAATGTCCTTTTGTTTGGGCTCTTTAGTTTCCCACCTTACTTTTTCTTTGTTGAATACATAAAAAATGTTCAATTCATTATGGCAGTAGAGGTTGGGGTAAAAATACAGGCAAGTAGAAGAGAGGTGTTTGCCCAGACCAGTGTTGGAGTGAGGCCAAGCAAATTCCTCCTTGGTGTTAGGCAAGGCCCCAAGCATCCAACTTCCCCTCAGGAAGCCTTTCCAGATGGCACTGACCCAGGCTTGACAAATCTACTCATCAAAAGAAGAAAGAAGAAAAACACCAAATCAACAATATCAGAATTGAAAACAACATCCATAAACAAAAAGAACTCGGCATACAAAATTAAATGGAACAAAGAAACGGTCAACACTGCAGAAACAGAAGCACAGCAAAATGCCAGCAGTATGAGTTTAATACCTACAGATATCCTAGGTATTAATGAGCTGAAATGGACTGATGTTAATCCTTTGAAATGAATCATATGATTTACTAGGTCAGGAATGACAAACTGAAGAGGCATGGAATAGTATACATATTCAAATAGAACATGTCCTGGTGTGGCACTCTGTGTTATTGTGCTGGACTGCAAAGTCAGTTTGAACCTCAAGGTCGGAAGTTCAAGCTGACCAGCTGCTCCTTGGCAACCCTATACAGGGTTGTTATTGGTTGGAACCAATTCGACAGTACTTACTAACAACATATTGAAATACAATGCTGTCTGTGGTAGGATAATATCCATGTGTTTACAAGGAAGACCACTTAATGTGACTATTACTCAAATTTGCATACCAACCACAAAAGTCAATGATAAAGATACTGAATTCTATCAACTTCTTCAGTCTGAAATTGATGAAACAGGCAATCAAGATTCATTGATAATTACCTGTGATTGAAATGTAAAAGCTGGAAACAAAGAAGAATCAGTAGTTGACATTGGTGATAGAAGAATCAGTAGTTGACATTGGTGATAGAAGAATCAGTAGTTGACATTGGTGATAGAAACAACACTGGAGATGACAATAAAAAATTTTGCAAGACCGATGACTTCTTCCTTGCAAATAACTTCTTTCAATAACAAATGGTGACTCTGCATGTGCACCACACCAGATGGAATACAAATGAAACAAATTAACTACATCTGTGGAAAAGAAACAATGGAGAAGCTCAATATCATCAGCCAAAGTAAGTCTACAACAGACCATCAATAGCTCATAAGCAAGTTCAAACTAAAGCTGAAGAAAACTAAGCCCATGAGAGACAAAACAAGTCCATGCGAGACAAAACACAACCTTGAGTATATACCATCTGAATTTAGAAGCCATCTCAAAAAAAGATTTGAGTCATTAGACACTAATGATCATAGATGAGAAAAGTTGTAGGATGAAATTATTAACATTATATATGAAGAAAACAAAAGGTCATTAAAAAGATATGAAAGAAATAAAAGACCAAGTGGATATCAGAAGAGACTCTGAAACTTGTTCTTGAATGTAGAGTAGCTAAAGCAACTATAATAAATGATGAAGTAAAAGAACTGAACAGAAAATTTCAAAGGGCAGCTAGAGAAGACAAAGTCAAATATTATAATGAAATGTGCAAAGATCTGGCATTAGTAAATCAAAAGAGAAGAACATGTTCAGTATTTCTCAAACTACAAGAACTGAAGAAAACATTCAAGCCACAGCTGAAAATTGAAGGATTCTATGGGCAACATTCTGTAAATTCAATCAACACTCATGGAAGCGTTTTTTTATTGTTAGGTGCCATCAAGTTGTTTCCCACTCACAGTGACCCTATGCATAACAGAACAAAAACACTTCCCAGTGTGCGCCACCCTCACAATTGTTACACTGGATCCCATTGCTACTGCCACTGACCAACCCATCTCCTTGGGAGTCTTCCTCGTTTTGCTGACCCTGTACTCTACCAAGAATAATTTCCTTCTCCAGGGACTGATCCCTCCTGATAATATGTCTGAAGTATAAGAGAAGAAGCCATCCTAGATTCTAAGGAGCATTCTGATTATACTTCTCTGCCAATACAGATTGGCTTGTTCTTCTGGCAGCCCATGGTACTCTCAATATTCTTCTCCAACACCATAACTCAAATACATCAGTTCTTCTATGGTCTTCCTTATTTGTTGTCCAACTTTCACATGCATTTGAGGTTATTGAAAATACCATGGGTTAGATCAAGCACACCTTAATCCTCAAACTGATATATTTGCTCTTGAACACAGAGGTCTCGTGCAGCAGATTTGCCTATTGTAATATATCACTTGGTTCTTGACTGCTGCTTTCCTCGGTGTTGATTGTGGATCCAAGCAAAATGAAGTCTTTGAAAACTTTAATCTTTTCTCCATTTATCATGATGTTTCTATGTTTCCATTTGTAAGGATTTTTGCTTTCTTAACAATGAGGCACAACACATACTTCAGGCTGTAGTCTTTGATCTTCATGTGTATTTTAAGTTCACTTCGCTTCCAGCAAGGAAAGCTTAATCATCTGCATGTCACAGGTTGTTAATGTGTCTTCCTCCAATCCTGATGCCATTTTCTTCTTTATATAATCCAGTTTCCCAGATTATTTGCTCAGCATACAGATTGAACGAGTATGGTGAAAGAACAGAACCCTGGCACACACCTTTCCTGATTTTAAGTAATTCAGTATCCCATTGTTCTGTTTGAATGACTGATTGCCCCTTGGTCTGTGTAGATTCCCCATGAGTACAATTAAGTGTTCCAGAATATTCAATCCCTGCAATGTTATCCATAGCTTGTCATGATCCACACAGTAAAAAACATTTATATGGTCAACAAAGCACAAGTAGACATCTTTCTGGTATTCCCTGCTTTCAGCCAAGACCCATATGACATCAGCAGTGTTATCCCTTGTTCCTTGAATGCTTCTGAATCTGGCTTGAGTTTCTGGCAGTTCCCTGTCAATGCACCGTTGCAGCCATTTTCAAATTATCTTCAGCAAAATTTTACTTGCATGTGATGTTAATGATATTGTTAGAAGATTTTGGTATTCTGCTGGCTTACCTTTCTTTGGAACAGGCACAAAAATGGTTTCTTCCAGTCTGTTGGCCAAATTTCTTGGCATAAATGAATGAGTGCCTCCAGTGTTACATAAGTTTGTTGAAAGATTTCAATTTATATCCCATCAATTTCTGGACTCTTGTTTTCCATAAATGCATTCAGTACAACTTGAATTTTTCCATCAGTACCATTTGTTCTGAATATGCAACCTATTGAAATGGTTGAACATCCACCATTTCTTTTTTGTACCATGACTTTGTATATACCTTCAATTTCTTTGGTGCTTTCTAAATCATTCAATATTTTGCCCATAGAATTTTTCAGTATTGAAAGTCAAAGCTTGACATTTTTCTTCAGTTTGAGAAATCCTGAGTGTGTTATTCCCTTTTGGTTTTCTAACTCCAAATCTTTGCACATTTAACTATAATACTTGACTTTTGTCTTCTCAAGCTGCCCTTTGAAATTTTCTGTTCAGCTCTTCTACCTCCTCATTTCTTCCATTCACTTTTGCATTTCTACACTGGAGAGCAAATTTCAACATCTCTTCTGATATCCATTTTGGTCTTTTCTCTCTTTCCTGTCTTTAAAATGACCTTTTGATTTCTTTCTGTTCTTGATGTCCTCCCACAGCTCTTCTGATCTTCAGTTATTAGTGTCTAATGCATCAGCTCTGTTCTTAAGACAGCCTCTAAATTCAGGTGAGATATGTTAAGGTCATACTTTGGCTCTTGTAGATTGTTTTAATTTTCTTCCACTTCAGCCTAAACTTGCATATGAGCAATTGATGGTTTGTCCACAGTTAGCCCCTGACATTGTTTTGGTTGATGATATGGAGCTTTTTCACCATCTCCTCCCACAGATGTAGTCAGTTTGGTTCCTGTGTATTCCATCTGTGTATAGTCATCTTTTATGTTGTTTAAAAAGTTATTTGCAATGAAGAAGTTATTGGTCTTGTAAAATTCTATCATGTGATCTCCAGCATAATTTCTATCACCAAGGCCATGTTTTCTAACTATGAATCCTTTCTCTGTTTCCAACCTTTGCATTCCAATTGCCAGCAATTATCAATACTTCTAGATTGCACATTTGATCAATTTCAGACTGAATAAGGTGGTAGAATTCTTCAATTTCATCCTCACTGCCTTCAGTGGTTGATGTGTGAATTTGAATAACAGTGGTATTAACTGGTCTTCATTATAGGCATATGTATATTATCCTATCACAGACACCATTGTGTGTTAAGACAGAGTTTGAAATGTTCTTTTTGATGATGAATGTGTTGCCATTCCTCTGCAATTTGTTGTCCCAGGCATAGTAAACCTTATGATTGTCAGATTCAAAATGGCCAATATCAGGGAGGGATCTGCAATTATATGAGTTCACAGGACAACATTTACCCAAAAGTATAGATGTGAAAGGAGTCCTGGTGTGGCACAGCTGGTTAATGCAATGGACTGCAAAATCGGTTTGATCCACAAGGTCGGTGGTTCAAGCTCACCAGTCACTTCTTGGAAACCCTGTACAGGGTTGCTATGGGTTGGAACTGACTCAGTGGCACATAACAACAACAACAGATGAGAACAGGGTAGAAATTTGAGGCAAAAGGAAACAGGAAACCCCGGGCAAAAATATGGAGTACAACCAATGTCATGGGATCTTCTATGGTCAAACCACCAAATGGATAAATCAATTTGCTGTGTAAGCCTTCACCTAATGTACAATAAGAAAATCCAGTCTTTATATGTGACCAACTTAACAACAGTAACAACATAGAATGGTAGAGGTTGACCCACAAATAAGAATCATGTCTCCACTTCCTGAACGCAGAGCCCAGAGCAGTGCTGGACCCAGCTGTGCTGCTCACTGGAAGTGTGCTGTGAAACAAAGAGGAATGGTGATAAAGACAGCACTCAGTACTCAATGCTGGTGATGGTCAACTCTCAAAAAATCACCAGTTCCTACACACCCAGAGACACCTCAGAACAAAGATCTGGCAATCTGCTCCTAAAAGGTCACAACCTTGCAAATTCTACTGAGCACAGTTCTCCTCTGGCCATGAGCCCAAATCAGCTTGATAGCAACTAACAACAGAGCATTAGCCTCTACCAGCTACCTGAGGAATAAATATTCTAATTCAATAGGCCTAGCACTACATCCAGAAGTTCCTGGGTGGTATAAAGGGTTAACACACTCTTGTGCTTACCAAAAGCACCCAGCGGTACCTTGATAGAAGAGCTTGGCCTTCTACTTCCCTACAACAGGCATTGAAAATTCTATGGAGTACAGTTCTACTCTGACACAGATGGGGTGGCTATGAGTCAAAAGCAACTTGATGGAAACAGTGCTGGACTAATGGCCAAGTAAGGCAATCACACAATCAGACTAGAAGCAACCAAGTCTAGAGGGAACTGTTTGTATTCACTGCCTGGGACGCAGGAGACACACAGAAAGGCCACAAATCCCCAAACAATGTCACCACAGGGGTATGGGCATTTCTGAACCCATAAGTAAGGGCCAGCTACAGATGTATAGTGATGGGAAGCAGTGTCTTGCCTTTGAACTGTTTGTGTTTCTCAATCCTGGAGGACTGGATCTTGGGGGAGAAAGAGCAAATTCCACGCATAGGGGAAATGAGGATAAACAGACTCCACCCCAGTTGTCTGGATCATGCCATGGCCCAGACTTGGTCTGTTTGTGCCCTTGTGCAACTTGAGCCATTTCCTGGACTTTGAAATGAGCTGTTTACATGGGCAAACCAAAGTGAAGAGTTGAGTAGAATTTCCAAAAAATTAAGCAGGCTTCAAATCCAGCTATGAAAGAACCAAATTCCCACTGTAGCTATAAGCAGAGTTAAGAGTCACTAGCTAACTGCATTGAATTTTATTAGCCATTAGAAATTTGGGATGAGTTGAGATTTCAAACTATACACTTAACGATTTCCCCTCTCCCCTCAAAAACAAAAAAACAAAAAATCTTGTTAGCAATTAACAGCTTTAGTCAATTAAAGAGAAAGAAAAAAGGTGGGAATTAATTGCCTACGTGGGTTGCCTTTTTTCTTTCTTTTCTTAGAAATAATGCCTTCAATCAACCATTCAAACATCAAATACAAAATGTTTTAAAATTTATTTACAGGTGAGCCGTCAGCCTCTTCCTCGTGAAGAAGTAAATCAAATCCATGAGAACTGCAAGGACATGGGGCTCCTAATTGGCAGAGGTGGCATCTTTTCTCAGGTACGAGGAAGCCTCATATTCCAGCCATTTTAGGAGAGTATCTCCCTGACGCCCTGACACTGATGACTTCTTTTTTTCAGGACAAATGATAAGGGACTCAGTCTCAATTGCTCTGCAGAGAACGTTCAGATGTTATCAAAAAGAGCAGTAAAGCCTTAGAACCACTAGGCGGTGCTGTGGTGGTAAACCTATCTGGTTATCTCAGCTCTGTGGGGAATAAATACAGAGGACAGTCTGGCATAAACTAGATATCCAGACAAACCAGAGGTTTTACAATATAGATCATAGTAGAAGTCAGACTTTGATGTTGTGTTGCTAAGTGTCCTCAAGTCCATGCCAACTCAGTGACCCTGTATAGGATGAGTGGCTGGTGGGTTTGAACCACTGACCTTACAGTTCAAACTGACCTTGTGGTACAATGCTTATCCTACAGTGCCACACCAGGACTCCATGATAGTCATAGAACAAATCATTTGCCTCATCTATAGGGTGAATCTAACCCCTGTAGAAGAATCCCACCAGTTACCATAGACTCAACTCTAGCTCAAGGTGACCAGTGTGTGTTAGAGTAGAACTATGTGCCATAGGGTTTTCAATGGCTGGTTTGTTGGTAGTAGACTTCCAGTTAGTTATTGTTGTTATTAAGTGACTCCAGTCACTTCCGACACATAGAGGATTCCAAGGAGTGGCTAATGAGCTTGAACTGCCAACCTTGTGGTTCAAACTGACTTTGCAGTCCAGCACATGAAGCCATAGTGCCACGTCAGAACTCCTTTCAGTTAGAGCCAAGTGCAGATCATTCACACTACTCGTGGACTCCTAAAGAATCCTAGCAATTCTCAACTTAAGTTCTGAGCTCGGACTGTATAAACCTTAAACATGCCACGTTTAGTGGCTGCTGTGGCTTGGACCAGCTCAACAGTTCTGGCATACACAGGGGATTCCTGCAGGAAGGGTGAGGGACCACTCTGGTGGGCTCTCACTGCAGACTCAACACCAGCCTCTCCTAGTGCATCTCTCCATCAGGCAGAAATATTCCAGAGAGCAAGGCTTCACCCAGTCCTTACTGAAAGAGTCAAGTCCAGCCCCACAGCCAAATGGGTCTCATCTCTTGCCCTCCAGGACTCGGCTGTTGCTGCTGCTGCTGCTGCTGCTTGTAAAGTGGCCTAGCCCCAAATCCCTCACACCAAGAGAAGTCCCATTAGGGCTTCCATCTAGGCAGACATTTAAGATGAAGTCACTTTCACTAGCTGCCTAATTTGTTCCTGTCCTCTGGCATCTTTCTTTCCCATTTTAAATCTTCATTATTCTTCTCATTTTCCCTGCTCCATCCCTGCCTCTCACTCTATTTTAGCAGGTACTTTTCAGTACCTTCTCAGACAAAATTGTAGTTGGCAAGCAAAATCTCTTCAGACATTGTCTGCTCTCACATCCATTGCAAAATCCTTTCCTGTGAGGGAAAAACAGCAATGAAGCTGCAAGCTAAGCCCTACAATGTTCAATAGACTCCTGTGAACCTAGGTGGAGACCTGGTTGGCCAACAGTGTGGCAAGACCTGCAGCCTCTTGGGTCCAGATTCAGTGACATAGCCACAGAGTGCTAGAGTGGAGAGTGAAGCATCCAGCTGATAAGAAGAGAGGGCATATGCATAAGAACACCCACACTTGCAGATAATACCCACTTGACCTGGCTTCAATGACTGGATGATCTGAGCTCAACCAGAAGAAGAAAGAAGAGGAAAAAAGAGTAATCTGATACAATTTGATGAACTTGACCTACACCTATGGATGCAGGAGCTCAAAAGAGGGAATAAATCTTTACAGCGAGGATCATTCCCACCCCCTCCGTACACAAAGATGGGCAAGTTGGACATTGGCTACCCAAAATGGGAACGCTACAAAGGCAAGAAATGACTGGCTTACAAGCTTTCAAGAGGGAGCCTAGATCCATAGGGCACAGGGGAAGGTAGAATCTCCACTGAGTAGTATCCCATCTGCCTGGGCAGGGCTAATGAAAGGAGATATGGATAGATCTCTTGTGGTACAATTGTGAATATTTGTTATCAGGACTGACTGTGAGGGTTGGAGGGTTGTAGCAAAAGGAGGGGAGCAGTTGACTTTGCAGTCCAGGAGCGGAGGTCCCTGGAACCATCAAGGGAGAAGAGCAGACAGCGGAACCCTACCCAGAGAAACAGTGACATCAGAGATGGAGGCAGAAATGATGACATGGAGAGATGGCACTGCTGGGGACTCCATACCCAGAGAGGGAGAGGGGCTGTGTGCTGACGACCGGGCGCAGGCTTGCGGGGTATACCCTTTGGTTGGTTGATGATGCTTGGAGGGGATTGTAACCATGGCAATAAAATGATATACGATAGGATGAATGTAAAGCTAATGTTCTCCCATGTAAACTATTACATAATTAACAATAAAACTTTTTTTTTTTTTAATCCTTTCCTGAAGCTTCAGAGAAACAGTTGTCTCTCCTGTTCAAATCCAAATCTACTCTTTACATGGGCAACATTAAGTGAAGAGTTGGGAAGAATTTCCAAATAAATAAAGCCTTGATCCTCCATGTTCCTTCCACCTTTGTTCTAGTACATAACTGGTGTTCTCTTGCATCTCCAACATTTCCTGAACTCCCACTCAGCCTCTAAACAAGCACGACTCTCACAAGCCAAATGCAAACCACACCAAATAAAACCAGAATGTGAATTCTTCCTAGGACATGCTCTTTTTCCTAATCCTGGTTTAAAATATTTTTCTGAACAAATTAGCATCATTTAATTGTTAAAAATCCTAAGACAAGCAACTTTTAAAGGCATAAAACCACTAATTGTTTAATTTGTTATTCAGTAAACATGTATTAATTGCTAAGAGGCAGATGTTATGCTGTGTAGTGAAGTTACAATGATAATTAAGATCCAGCCCCTGTTTTCACTGAGCTTGTGGGAGAGAAATACATAGAAACAGAAAATTACAGTACAATATACTAAGCCCAGTTTATAGATGTAAAAGGAGTTCTAGTGTGGTGCTGCGGGATAATGTGCTGGACTGTAAGGTCAGTTTGAGCCTCAAGGTCAGTGGTTCAAACCCACCAGTTACTCCTCAGAAGCCCTATACAGGGTAGCTACAAGTCGGAACCAACTTGATTGGCGCTTAACAACAATACCAATATAGGTGTTAAAAGGGCATAGTACAGGATAAAATAGAAGGGACTTCAGGAAAGTCTTTCTGGCTAAGCTTCAACAATGAGATTGCTGTTGTTAGGTGCCATCTAGTGGATTACAACTCACAGCAACCCTGTGTAGGGTTTCCAAGGAGCAGATGGTAGGTTTGAACTGCCAACTTTGTGGGTAGCAGTCCAGTGCTTATCCTACTGCACCACACCAGGATTCCCAACAAGACAGTAAAATTATGAATAGAGGAATGGCAGGAGACAGCATGACAAACACGAGTGTGACTGGAACAAAATCTGAGGCAGCAGGTGGGGGAAGAAATGAGGCTGAAGAGGTAAAAAGAAACCCTTACAACCTTCCAAATGCTATTCTAAATACCTTGCATGTACTAAGTGAATACTCACAATAAATCTATGAGATTAGCACTGTTATTATCCTTCTTTTACAAATGAGGAGAAAGAGACTCAGGTTCTGTAGATTTCCCAAGTCACAGAGAGTAAGTGGCAGAACCAGGCAGTCTAATTCCTGAAATCTGTCCTCTGAGGAGGACAAACCCACAGGGCAAGACTGAAGGCAGAGAATTCAAGTAGGGGCCTGGTGATCCTGCCTGAACTTGAGCAATGATAGTAGAGATCAAGAGAAATTTGAGTTCAGAGAATTCTAGAACAATTCTAGAAATGGACAGAACTTGCATATGCAGAGTGAGGGGACATGAAGGTTGACTCTATCATGTCTTACTTGGTGTAAGAGGGCAAGGAGGAATTCATCTATGGAAATGTTCCATTTGAGGTGTTTATAGATCACTTATCTTTACATACAGCTCTGTAGCTC